CCCCCCAGTCTCCCCCCAACACCCCTAGGTGCCCCAAAGGCCCCAGACACCCCATCAAAGCCCCTCCGTTGAACTGACTACTTCTAGAAATTGTACAAATGTTAGCAATGTCATTGCAAGCTGTAGAAGAGACTTGAAACATGATGCCTACCCCAGCTTTAACCTTAATCTGAAAATTCTCCCTTGAAATTGAATTTTTTGCTTCTTTGTACATGGTAGCAGTGACATAGTTCCTTGCTTTGGAAAAACTGTTAGGGTTTCTACGTAACTGTAGTAGAAACAGACTTTTAAAATGTGTGTGATACTTAAGATGGATTTGTGGAGTTAATGCTACTTGTTCTTCAGTTATAGGAAATAATCTGTCTACATGGGGAAAAGTCCTTCCAAATAGGTTTGTGGCATTTGTATAGTCCTTTACTGGAGGACTTCTAATCCCTTATAACTAATTCAAACTAATTGTACTATGCTGCAAACTTGTCAAGCATTGTACCCATGTTCCTCACACAAGCAAAGCTGCTGAAAATCATGCAAAAAGTTGGTGCTGCTTCTGGGAGAAGAACAGGGGGGAGACTTCAAAAAAATTGAGACTCTGGTTGAAATATTGGTTAATCTGAATTAATAGCTTTGCCATTCACTTCAGTAGATAGATTCTGGCCCCAGCATTAGTTTTCACTGTAGTGAGCATACCACGAACTAACTTGCAAAGAACAACAACCATAGTCTGTTTCTTGATCTCAAACACATAGTGTGAATCAACTGAAGTCTGAAATTACACTTAGGTGATCAAACATTAGGGATGCACATGAGGTAGAAAGACTTGCAGAAAAGCAGAAATTTTCAGAAGGCTGAGCTTGCTCTGTACTTACAATGTTTCCAAAGAGGAGATTAAAATACGGGTTTTTTCCCCCGCAGTGGAAATATGACCAAATGTCAGCAACATATCTCTTGCTTCAGTCCAAGAAGGCTCGTGGCAAGCGTGTTTGCTTAAGGGTTCCATGTCTAACAGGGCATGCCAGTACAGCAGAATCAGCAGGCCTCGAGGTAAGTTTTCGAATTCAACAGGACAACATACTGATTAAAATGCTGCTATGCATTAAAAAAGCTCTGCCTGGGAAAACAGACTGGTGCCCTAAACATCAGTAAGAGAGCATGTGTGCCGTCAGCCAAAGTCTTGGTCATTAAGCAGTTCAGTCTCCTCATTAGCATGTTGTAGCAAGCTGGGCTGCTTCTACAAATTGACATTACTGGAATAACTATCTGGGAGGACATGGTGCATTATGAGTTCCGCACAGAATCTCCCCTTTTCTACTCACAGAAATGGACTAAAAGTGCCCATTGTCTGGCCTACATGATAATTCCAGATTTTCCTCTGTGATGCCTACCTTCTTGCTGCACTCTCTCACATTAGTCTCTAAATATTTTTGTACCTTGCTAGTTGCATTTGGCATGGCTTAGTAAGGAAAGTCTTCTGAAACATCCTGCCATGTCATCTGGGCAGCCTACTTTGAGATGACATGGACGCTACATGAGCTGATGGTCAAAGGGGAGAGATCCATTCCTTCCTCATCTGTTTCGTTTTAGAATACAGTCCCAGAGAGGATTCTGTTTATTTTGAGTAAAGGAAACATGTTGCTGATGGTTTTCGGATGAATGCGATTCTCAAGCGGTTTTGTATATCTTATGGTAATTTCTGTTCCTGTGGTTGGTAGCAAAGTGCAAATAGGGCACTTCAGAACTTGTCTGAAGTTGCTAAATTGCTTACAATATGTATAATATGCAGCTATATGTGATGTTGGTGATACTCGTCTATGTTTGACAAACTCAAAAGCATTCAGTAAAATTGCAGACTTCCTATTAGCCATTGCCCCTTGAACTGTAGACATCTGTGTAAAATTGTTAACTAGCTATCTGAACGTGCTATTCTCTGCATAGAGACAAGCACTCAGAATAAATACTTTCTTATGCATCTGATTCAATTGCATGTAAATCATTTCAGTTCACACATACAACTGCTTTGAAATGCAGAAGAGAATTCTAAGATTACCAGTGCTGCATAACAGATCATGCATCGTAAGTGTTGCTGAATATGCATAATGTGATTTCCATGATCATGGTGGGTTAGTCTTCTACACTCAGGTGATTTTAAGGTGCAGGTTCTCTAGGTTCAGTAGCGCTGATGCTGTGAAGTTACTTCATCTCTAGTGGTGGCCTAGGTAAATTGATCTGGCTAATGCTACTATTTCATGTATGCATTATGCCTTCACAGGTAATTGTGAAAATCATGCCTACACAACACAACAATCCATTAGTCCTTCTACAGCGCTCAGGTCACATTTAACTTACCTGCATGTAGATACTGTGACTGAATATCAACTGAATTTGCTGAAATACCCAACTAGCAAAGTTTTCTAGCTAGAGCTGGTCTAATGTGAAGATAACAAGCAAACGGAACCTTTAACTTAGCCAGTTTCTGAATTTGGTGGCACAAGCTTGTACATAATACTGCCTTATTTCAAGCAGTTTGGTGTAGAAGGATATTCCAAAAAATTCACCATGGCGTGAATTTCATCTGGAACACGGTAACCAAGGATTCCTATTCAGGCATTCATACTGTAATGGAATGTGATTTCAACTACAATATTGGGCTGTTAGCTTTTTGGCAGTAGGTAACAGCCCTCTAGTAAGGGCTTTTTAGTAAGTCACCATAAGAGGTCTGGTAGCATACCAGGAAGCTCTGTTTCTATTCCAGTAGTAATGAAAGTTCTGATCATTGCAATATACTTGATCACAGGCCAAGAGAAACTTACCTGCCAGCAGAACATAGCTTGCTAAAATGGTATCCATTCCAGCTAAGGACTGGTAATTTAAAATAATTGTATGCAATTTCACTGAAGTGGTATGAAACAAGTCCTCGGGAAGAGTTTCCTGAAAATAACAAAAGGTGTTAGAAACTAAGGATACTGTGGTATACATCTGACTGTATGTGGTGTGAGCCATGAAGGTTAACAATCTTTGCTGAAGTTATGAATCCTGTGATTTAATAAATGACAACTTTTTGGGGGGATAGCAATTCGATGAAGGCTTATGAATGCTAGTTCAAGTACAGATTCCATAATCATATGTTTTGGATGTAATGCGTTTAGCTTTATCCAGCCCCCTTTCAGAGACTTTTCTGCATTCTTTTCTTGGGTTCTTTCCAGCTTATTATTTGGCTTTTAGTAAAAAGAGATTCTGGTCCAAGTCTTGAAATGAAAGGCAGGTATTTTTTGTGAGTTGCTTCTCTTCTTGACACAGGTCATGAAAGATGACTTGATAATGGTGCTTTGAGAATAATTTCACATCTGCTTTTGATACAAATGACAAATCCACAATGACAATATTAAAGTCATATTATAAAACTTAAGTCACCGGCATGGGAACTTCCATTAGCTGTTTACCATAATTAGAAACTTAGAAAGAAATAAGATTTAGATTTTAATGACACTTTTCTGATTAAATCTTCCTTTTAATAGTTCTGTGGAATCTCAACTGAATTTTTCTTTTCAGTCTGAAAAAACTGTGACATGTGAAGATGTGCCAGACTGCAGTGAAATGCCGCATGCATTTGGATCCATGGAATTTTCTGATGCAGCTTCACTGTTTGAAGAATCTCCATTAGAAGAATTTATTCTAAATACTCGCAGAAGAAAGCAGGTGTTTGAAGAATAAATACTAGTTACTTAAAAAAACAAAGATACTATTCTTAATTGAAAAAATCTTATTCTCACTGTACATAAAACTTACTGCATATTTAAATGTTTGGTGGACCCTGGCCAAGGGGAGTTACAAACTGGGTAACGAAATGTTTTAAATATATAGCGGAACATAAATTGTGGCTTACTCTAGCTGTAGGTCATGATTCATTTGATGAGAACTTGAGCTTTGACATTTGGTTTGCATAAAAAGAGCATATAGGGAATGAGTAAATGAGGCAATGAGGATTTTAAAACTGATAGGAAAACAATAAGGTACAGCAAACAAGTTTTCAGAGCTAGGCTATAGCTAGACAAGTCTTTGAAGATGTTCAGCTTGTCTGTATTGGACAAGAAAATCCAATGAAGCAATTAAAATTATACAATTAAACCAAATGAAAACTCTTAGCTGTGTTTAGATGAGCTGGTGAGCAATAGTCTTAAATGTGCAAACTGAAGAATTTAGAAGAGCAGATAAAGAAATGGCAAATGACTTAAGATGTTTATTAGCAAGTTATAGAGGGAATCAGAGGTATTGAAGTTTTTAACTATTTTGCTCAATAGGCAAGTATTGTATGGTATTTTTAAGCTGCTTCAATTTTAGAATTTCCTTGTCTGTAACATTCCTGAATGTGATCAGAATACAGCAAAGGATGTCTTTTTTTTTTTGTTACATCTCTCGTAGCATTCAGGGCATGATGCTCAACTGGATGATAAGGAATTCACACTGTCAACTCCAGTGACAAGAAAAGTGGCATCAAAGAAGCATGAAAACAAAGAGAATATAGATACAGAGTCGGCTTTAAGAAATGAAATGCCCTTTGCGTTTCCTGCTCCAAAGACTCCTTTTGCGAAGAGTCAGATTGAGATGCAAGTACAAACTATACCCTGTCAGGCACCTGCCTTCAAAGGTATGGTGAATGTAACTAATGAAAACTTAGAACATATACATTGCTTAGGAATTATTGTAAATTAAAATGTGAACACAATACTTGTGTATCCAACACATCTGTTTCTGGAAGACTTAACTTTTTTTGCCATATTCACCAGCCTGGTTTTTCTAGTACATCTGGTACGGTGCTGCAAGAGGTTTAACCATACATCAGGGCATGTTACTTGTATATTAATTACAGAAGTCATTCCATGCATGCCTTTTGGCACACTCTGACATGGAGTCAAGTGCTGTGTTCCTAAAATTTGCATCTGGTTCCACTTTTCCATGAAGGTTGAGAACACAATCTTCTCAACACTCTGTTTTTCCTTTGTTATTACCTTGAGTGAAAATGAGGGTATACTTTCAGTCAAGACTGCTTTTATTGCTTCTTCTAAGAGAAATCCAACTTTTGCATTTCTTATGTTAGCGTTTCAGCATTTTCACAGTAAAAGTCCAGTGTGGCAGTGAAAATACTTTTCTGTTAACAATGTATAGGTCTTACAGTTATGTGATAGACCACAGAAATCTGTCTAAATTATGTCAGCTTTTCTGAGTTACGAGGAATTTCTGTCCTCAGCCTGTCTAGTCATTCTTATGAAAAATGACGGATCCTGATGTACATTATTTTTCCCTTCAACCTTCAACATAAAAGTCTTGGTGTTGATACTGTAAATGTTAACTCTGTTTTTCAAATGCCAAGGATTCCTTACAATAAGGAGACTCTTCTGTTCCAGGTGCTAAGGAACATTGTTCAGAAACAGTAAGTCTTTGCAGGCTGATTTAAGTTATAAGGGATCTTGGACATACTGCTGTTCAATGACATCCTTTATAAAGGATTTAAAGAAGTGCACTACAAAGACTAGTTGTTTATATGAGTTTGATTTTTGTCTTAAGATTGTATGCGGTAACTTGTGAAGTTTTACTTCATTGTAATTTTAAAAAGCAAAAGGTACTATTTCTGAAATGGGAAATGCAGAAACACTGTTTTAGCTCATTTTAGTGAGATATTTCTGAGGATTAAACAATTAAAAGCTAATTCTTTGTTTCATTGAAAGATCTTTGATTCAGGAAAGGTAGTATTAATACTTTCTTAGAGACAGAAAAGTGGAAGTATCCACTGGAAATTTTGCGATCATCGTTGTCTGGGGCCAGGTGCAATTCTGTAGAGAGCTGAAACTTCGAACATTGAAGTTGGGTTTAATTGTAATAACTAATTTGCTGACTGTTTCACTTGGTGTTTGCTTCTGCACATTCAAAACCATGCTCTGCAGAACTCTGTCAATGTGTGGGTAGTAGAACTTTTTAGGCTGTTGCATAGTGCGTACTATTAAACATGGCTATATAAACTCACACCCTTCATATAAGGGAAATGGCTTGGTGAAGAACGCAACTATTTGACACAGTGAATTGTTCAGTATTTATTCTGGGACCAGTGGCAGAGCAAGAAAGCAATTCCAATCCTCTTCCTTTCCAAATTTCTAATACTGAACTGCATTGGTCGCTCTAAGGCTTGACTTGTAGAGACCTGGGGAAATCAGTCACAGTTTTTCTTTGTAGAGTAGAGGTATATTAAAAACATATTTTACCATTCTGAAGATACAGACCTGATGCAGAAAAGTGGGCTGGTTTTAGAAATAAATTATTAATCATGAGAAATGCTTGCTGAAGAAAAGAAAATCTTTTATGCAAAAACATACCTGCTTTGGCTTGGATGTTTTCTTTCAGAAAGCCAGATCACTACAGTCACCCCAATTAAGAAACCCACAAACCCAACAAACGCAGATGAATTGACAGCAGCTGAGGTTCTTCCTGAAAGAAGGTAAATGTCCAACTATTTGTATACACTTCTGATTTAGAGCAGGACTACCTTAATCCATATACTGCCTAGGAAGCCTTGTTACAACAGCAAGCTGTTATTTCCATTCTTTTGGTAAAAGTCTTCCTAAAAACCTCTTTCTACATTTGCCAGAAAACACCGAAGGCAGAGAAAAGTTTTAAAATTATGTAACTCAATTATCTTCAGAATATAGTCCTATTTTCCATAATGTAAGTTCCTTCTTATTCCATTCCCAAGAGGGCTGCAGTTTCTATATACGTCTCTGGGTTTAAATCTCTACTGACTTTCAAAAAGAAACTCTCATAATACACTGCATTTGCTTTGGTTTTCTTACTTCAGTCAGGTCTGGTAATATTTTAGTGATGTGTCTGAAATAACTGATTTCTAAACACTGAGGAAAAATAACTGATTAATTTGTTCATGTAACAGGTGTCATTCAGTGGAATTAGATCTCAACCTGGCTCACGTGGATAGCAGCCAAAAGAAGAGAAAAGCCAAAATATTTGGAAGTCTTGAAAGAGGCCTCGATAAAGTGATCACAATGCTTACGCCAAGCAAAAAGAAACGATCCACTAGAGATCATCCAAGGAAACTTAAGGTATGATTGCTGGAAAAAACTTACATGAAAAGAAGTATTAATTATTGAAAACATCCAAGACCTTTAGAAATGGTCTTGTGAAAACTTCTGTGATTTGACTTACCTGTATTTTACAGTAAAGTGCAGATGGTCTTACTGCATCTCTGTTAACATGAAAATGTCCCAATCATCGCCAAGAGATGTTTTGTTAGTCTGGGCTCAGGCAAGTCACCAACAGATCAAGGGAGGAGTTCAGCCATTGCTTTTTATATCCTATCTAAACCAAATGTGAGGGAAGCAGGATGGTTTTAAAGGAACCCTAGTTGAAAATTTTTAATCATGTTATTCGATAGAGATACCAGTAGCTCTCCGACTTAAAAAAAAAAAAAAAAAAAAAAAAGAAAAATTGATAACACTTCTGGCTTAGGTTTCTGTAGTCCAGGAGTGATATGTCTGTTCCAAGATAGTCTTTAGATGTCAAGAGAACCTGAGATTAAACTTAAAGCCTAAATAACTACACCTTATGAAAGAATTTCTGACACTGTCAGCATAATTTTGATTTTTAGTTTTGATGTCACTGTGTCCAAGCCAGTTGGCTACTTATTCTTCTTTAAGTAGCCATAGAAAAAGCAGTTCCTTAGATAGTGCATTGCACAGAGCACTTTAAAATTACATTAATAATTTGTACCTACCAAAGTTGACTCATAAGGTTAATATTAGCTTTGTAGAATACACATCAAATGGCATTGGCATAATACTAGTGTTGTGAACAGAATTGTATACATCACTCAGAAGCAACTAATATACTTCAAAAGTTATACAAGGAGGAATTTATACTTGAATCTGTAGATGACATGTTTGCAAAACATGATTAACATGAAAGAGGCAAGGCTGTTACTGAGGCATAAACAGTTCCATAGAAATAAGTGCTGTACACCTTCAGCTGACTGGCTCCTGGAGCTGCCACTGTTAGGACACCTACTGTACAGTAAGAGGACCACTTTGTGTTTTGCAGCCTGTGTAAATGGAATTCAGCTACTGTATTCCAGTTGGAAGCTTTTCCAAGAGGCACCTGTCAGAGGCAAGGTGGCAGCCTTACAAGTTCAGGACATACGTTGCACTACAAACCTGGCCAACTCATCGGACAGGAGTCCAGTCTGTGCAAATAATTCAGGAACCTGAGCAATTGGAAACAAAAGCTAGATCTTCTGTCTCTAAAAGTTTTTATCCTTCTGCATCAGTTTCCCTTGTCCATAGTATATGCAAAATTACTGATGTATGTCTAGGGACACTGGACTACAATAGGGGAAGATAAAACTTTATTATTCAGAGTGTTACAGCAGTTATGGCAAGGAGTTCCATATGCTTTAGGCTGAATAAGAACTGTAAGAACCAGTCTTTTACTCTGACTTTGCATCCTCAACCTATGTTCATTTCTCAAGGTATTTTATGATCTTGTCTTCTCTCAGCTGCTTCTGTGACTTCAGAAGCTAAATAGAGCATTTGTGGCATATTACTGTTGGCACACACTTTCTCTCGTTTCATATGGGTGTCTGGAAGTTGTTCAGGAAGTCACTTATTGGATATAAAGTGATATAAAACCTCTAGAACGGTAAACTTATGAGTAGTAAGTTACCTTTTTTCTTTAAACATGACAATGCTTTAGTCCTAGAAAAGCTGCATGGCGCCATGCCTGTTCCTTGATGTTGGAAATGCTCAGTCTCAGCTAGGCAGCACACTACTGGCAATCTCCCAACTGTGGAGCATGCAGTAGGGGGCTCTAAGCACAGTCGGGTGGCTGTCTTCCGTAGTCCCCTCCAGGAATCGCCTCTGGCTACGTACGAGACTTCTAATAGCCTCCATGCTGCCCTTGCCATTCACTGCTACTTTGGATTTTATGACGGATTGTAGTTTGGACATGCTTTGATATTAATTGTCCAGCAGTTGTTGTTTAGTGTTCCTGTTGCTACTACAATGTCTTAAATAAGATAATATTGGGAAGTTGAAGCATTTGTCACTATGGTTATCTGTTCCAAAGCTTGCTTTATGAAAACTTTTCGTAATGTCTTCAATTTTAGGAGAAAGATTTTTTTTTTTTTTT